GGGTGAGGAGAAGTCCGGGGGGTGTGGTGAGGGGTGTGCTGGGGGAGGCGGAGGGGGGGGGCAGGGTGATTTACAACCCCAGCAGCTCCAGCTGAATGATCAAATATGAATCTCATCGTTAAAAAGTGTGTTTCTCTCCTGTGGTAACCTTCTAGGGTTCCACCGGTGGAAGTTACAGGGAGGTGTCGTGGCTCAAGTGCCGGGATTAGGGATTAGGGATTACGTGGTAGAGGAGGTGGGAGGAGGTCGGAGGAGGTCGGAGCCAACGCAGCGAGCATTTATATTAGACAAACTATTTGAGGGTGATAATTGAGTTTTATTTTTGATTGCAACTCATCAGTTTTTGGTGATGCACAAACAGTTTGCCTCATTAAGCACAGCGGAGGTGATGCTTACACATTCACATGGGAGCTGAAGCCAGCAGACACACACACACACACACACACACACACACACACACTGCTGTTGGTGTTTGTGTGTATTTCAGCTCCGTCAAAGGTATGGATGGGTTCACAATTATTTCGGAGTGATGAAAAGCGTCCTGTTATTATGTCATAATCACATTCATCGTTCTGTATTATTATGGTCTGCATGTCTTGGCATGTAGCTTTCGCAAGTGTGTGTGTAATTAGTCTGACAGAGACAAACAGCAAAGACTGCTAAGATTGAGAGCAGCGCTAACGTTTGGGCCTCGATCATTAGCGATCGCTAACGTGTCACTTGGTCCTCGGGGATTAAAAATGTATTTCCAAAGGTTCCAGGGTTTGTTTTTGTCTCCTGAATCACTACAGGTGACAAACAGGTTTTATCTTTCAGCCGTGTTTTTTTTTTCTTCTTCTTGGTTTTCAAGCAGGACTTTGAAAAACCAGTTCCCCTTAAACCTAATATATAAAAACCCTCCATTGTTTTGGGGGTGGAACCCTCCACAGAGGTAGAGCCAGGGTGGCATTAACCACACAATGGACCAGGCGGTTCGTGCAGTGACATCAAGAATATCATGGGTTTGATGCCTGGTCTATTCTCTCTGTGTGTGTGTGTACCTGGGTTTTCTTGGAGTACTCCCACAGTACTGACCTGACTGTAGACCTGAATGAGGGGGCGGGTGACATGTATGACCCCGGTGTGACCCAGCCCTCACCTGACGAAAGCTGGAATTATTAATTAATTAATTGATACCAGCACCGGACCAGTTTGTCTTCGTGAAAGTACCAGGACTGAGGTGAAGGTCCGGGGCTGGTCACAGTCTGGGCAACAAAACACTTCACATCCTTAGTCTGACGGCAGCACCAGCGTCCTTGTCCATTATATTAGGAACACATGTGAAGATGAGTCACATAGTCATGGGCTATTAATTAAATAAAGTGCAGCTGGTATTAATAGGAACCACGTTTGTGGTTATCAAGCTACGGTGCTCGTACCAACGCTGGTCCTTGAGTCTATCTATGAAAGCTTCCAGTATAATCTGGTGTAGGTGAATAAAGGGTAAAATGGTAAAAATAAAAAATCTCTTCTTTGTACCGTGTACCGGTCTGATCTGAACACTTTGAGTTTTTATTTTATTCTATTTTTCATTTTTGTACTACTCTGAAAGAGGAGAATTCAGAGGTGGTGAAAACAGACCCTCGGCTCAAACGTAAAATTTACCATAACAACTGTATGTTGTTGGGTAGAAATAGTTTTGGATATATTTGTAGTATTATTTGTAGTATTCTGAGCCTGACTGTACCAGGTATTTTTATTATTCAAAAAATAAACAACTATTTGTAAACCTCAAACTGGTATCTAACAGCGCTTGCACAAACACTTTTATTGCACAAGTATTTTTAACCACAGGCAACGTTAGGTAGACAAGAGCTGGCAGCCAGAACTGACACGCAAGCTGCTGAGAAACAACATCCAGTAGCAGCAGTAGTGGTGATAATGCTACTTGAGGCTGGAATTTAGTTCCACCAGACGAGACGTGACTCTAAAACATCATCTGAGAGGAAAGGGTCCATGTCGAGGCCCGACGTCAACATAAATAACAAGGGTGGGATGCTGACAGGACAGTCCAGCCGCACTGACCGTTACTGGTATTTTTAGGTCTGTTGTTAAAGACTCTGTCAGTGTAAATACAACGCCAGTTTCTGACGCTAGTTTCTGACGCTAGTTTCTGATGCTAGCTTCTGAAGATAGTTTCTGACGCTAGTTTCTGACGCTAGCTTCTGATGCTAGCTTCTGACACTACATCTGACGCTAGCTTCTGACGCTAGTTTCTGATGCTAGTTTCTGACACTAGCTTCTGACACTACATCTGACGCTAGCTTCTGATGCCAGCTTCTAACACTAGCATTTGATGCTTAGTTCTGATGCTAAGTTCTGGTGCTAGCTTCAGACGCAGCTTCTGATGCTAGCTTCTGACGCTAGCGTCAGAAGTTGTTTGAAGTTGGAAAAATGTAACTTTTCAGGCAAGATCGTGTCACGGCTGACATGCCGTGAAAAGAGAGCGGGTCAAGAAGTGAGCAGACAAATTAAATTCTCCTGCTTCTATGGCGTCAGACATGACGAGCTTTCTTTTCCCGCCTCTATTGTGTTTGGTGTGAACGCCCCATCAGGCCCAGTATTTCGTTCAAACACTCATTACCGCAGTAACCAGATCCTCAGATCCTCAGAAATGGCTTTTCACCAGTCAGTGTAGTGTGTTTTCCGACTGCACTTCAACGTCTCATTGTCCTCACGGTAGTTTATTTAAGTAGGTCAACGACGTAGGTCTACATAACAATCATCTTGACATATTCAGTGCTCTACTACAGTACTACACCTCTACGACTACTCAGCATCCGGTCTAACAGAGTACCGAGAACAGGAGCTCACATGGACTCAAACTCATCGATGCGCTGTTTGGTGTTGCCCTGGCGAATCTGACGAAGGGTCTTGTATTTGTCGCGGCCCGCCTTCACATTCTCAGCGTGGATCAGGTCATTGGGGGTCTTCTTGCTCTCGTCCACAGCCTCAGCCAGCTCGCTGCTCAGGAACTGGGGGAGAGGCAGAGAGTGAATGAAATCCTCTCACATGACACCCTCCAGGAGACTATTCATAGAGCCGGCCTCTCACGGCAACGTTCCCTCCATCCCCGTCTGAACACACTCTATTGTGCAGAGTTATTATGTCCATTCTGTGTTCATTTCTCTGAGCAGCATCACATCTTGTTTCCGCAGCGAGCTGCGAGCTAATTTCACTCCGGTTGTTATTCTGAGGTCCCGTCAATCTGGGGGAGATTTTTTTTGAAAATTGAAATTTGTTGATTTTAATGGATACGGAGCAAAACATTCGAGTTCATCTAGCTGAAACAGGGACTAATTAAATTATCATTACATTTAAATTTATTTGAAAAAAAATTGGTATTCATGTTAGAAAGAAAAACACAATTATTATTATTATTATTATTATTATTATTATTATTATTATTATTATTATTCCAGACGTGTTTGTTCTTTTTTGTCCTGGGAGTATTTAGATTTCTCCTGCTTTGAGTTAAACCTACATTTAGTGCTATTTTTAGCAGCATGTCAGAGCTGCTAGCCTCATTTTCGTGTACTCTGTCGCAGTCTTTTGTAATGGTAACAGCAGATCATATTATTCTCTTCTGTTCTACTCCAGATGTTGAAGCTTCCGTCTGTGATCACCGTCCAGTGAAATACAGACGGGACGGTCTTCCTCCTCCTGCTCACTTTTTTTTTTACCACCGTCAGGACCAGACTCCAAGACTTGAACTCGGTGAGAAGGAAAGTCAGTTTCAGTGGAAAAGAAGAAGAACAAGTGGATCAACAGGTGTCACCCGGTACGTCACACGTTAAAGCCTTTTCTGGCTTGAGGCTGCGTCCGACTCACGATGACAGAGTGAACTGTTTGGTTCTAATCCACTGGGCTGACACTGTAACAAAGATCAGTTATGTTTTCTCCCGTGTCACGGCTGACGAACTGTCAGGCCTCGTCTGTGAGGAGGTTGCTGGTTGGCTGTACGTCGAGGGCTGTTGTCCCAGTGTCCGTTTTATTACCCTACTGGTGAACAGATGGCGTCACACCTTATTGGTGTTTAAAGTTAAATTAAGGTAATATTTCTCTGAGAAAAAAGAACATATATAAATGCACACATATATATATTTATATATAAATATGCAAATATATGTGCATATATATATAGAGTGAGAGATAAATATATATAAACATATATAAATATATGTAAACATATAAATATATATTTTATTATGTTTATTGATCGGCCCTTCCTCCACCCACAAAACACTGGAAGTTACTTTATGCTTTGAGACTGTTACTACAATTATGTGACATATATTCTTGGTACTAATTTTCATCTATATTTATATATATTTATAACTATTTTCTACAATCTATTTTTTTTTACTACTTCATTTGGACGTTTTTTTTTTTTTTTTAATTTCCGCGCTACCTTGTAAGACAGCTGCACAGCCACAGTTCTCGGCAGTAACGTACAGTGACCGTGGAAAGCATTTTGTGAGTTGTTTGTCTGCAGACCTCAAGGCTCGATGTAGCTTCAGCCGTTCTTATCTGTTGAACTTGATCTCTAACCCAAAGGGAGTGAGTCTGGGTGGAACAAACTAGAAAAAAAAAAAAAAGAAAAACCTCCTTCACCTCACCTTTAGATTCTTCTGTAACCTCTGGTTCTTCTGAGCCTCCGTCACTCTCTCCTCCTCGCTGCGATCTCGGACCGTGCCGGGCGACGTCAGCTCGGCGCTGGCTTCTGCGCTGCTCTCGTCCGTCTCGTCGTGGTCGTGCATCTGGGGGTTGACCGTGTCCTGAATGTGGACACCCATGAGTTTAGTCTTCAGCTCATCTTTGGTTCGCTCCAAATGGGCCTCAGCCATCAAAGCCTGTCGACCAACATGATTTTCACTTTGGATCTCAGAGTCTTCTCCAAACTGAAGGGAAGTCAAAAAGCGCTAAGACAAAAAAAAAAACAACAAATCTCCTGTTTGCTTCTGTCTACGTCCGTCTGTGAATTAGCTGTTTGCTTTAATGGGTGCAACAATCTCTCATACTGTGCTAGTTTTTTGTTTTTGCAGACCTTGGATAAGGACTTTAACGTCAGACACTTTTAATCACTTCCTGTCGACCTAAAAACATTGAATCTCAGCGCAGGTGAGAGCAGAGCGGCGATGACAGGAAACTTATTCCTATTTAAAAGTCGAAACAAACTCGACTGTGGTCAAAGTCTTGCCCAAGTTTTACTCCGATTTAACACTTAGTAGTGTCAGAGATTTCTCTTTGCTCATGTTTGATTCATCCTTTACCTCTCTTGTGGTTCTTTGATTAATTCTCACCCTTTGCTGCCATCTCTTTGCTTCCTCATCCTTTTTCTTCTTGGCGTCTTCCAGCTGGGAGATTTTGGAGGTAAGCTCTGCCAGCTCAGTGGCCTGTACACACACACACACACACACACACACGGGCAAACTGATGGGAAGAGAGCTGAGAGTGCTTCTGACATAACGTGAGGTCAGCGTGCTCTGTGTCTGTGTCTGTCAATCTGTGTGAGTGTGTCTATCTGGCTATCTGTTCATCTGTCTGTCTTTGCTGCCTCACCATGTATAGATAGGTAGGTAGTTAGGTAGGTAGGTAGATAGTGTTAGCTACAACAGTCCTGGTACAGACACCAGCGCTAACATTAGCTACAATTTACAAAATGTTAAAATTGTATGTAAATTATTATTTAATAACTTAAAGACAACATGAAAAAAATTTAAAAAAAAGGTGAAATGTTGATTATTTTGTTTACATTTTTTTCTACCAGGCGTGATGAAGGTGCGACTGAAACCTTACTCTCCTGAGAATTGAAAACAGTGCAAATGAAGTGCAAATGTGTTGTGGAGTACCAGGTTTTCCTGGTTCTTGATCTGGGTCTCAGACTGGTGCAGCAGGGCTGCCTTAGCTTCCACCGCCACTTCACGGTCCATCTCCAGGCGCTCAGCCTCCTCCTGAGCAATTTTCCTTTCCTTCTCTAACTCGAGAGCCCTTCGAGTCTGCTCCTCCAGCTCTGAAATACACAGCACATGTACATGTACACACACACACGTGGCCACGCCAACTAAGACAGAGTCTAAAATTGATTCTGTATCAAAGATAAACCCAGACAAGTTCTCATTCTTTTTTAGCACCGAACAGAAAAAAGGAGCTGGAGTCAAGAAACATTTGTATTCAAAAAATTATCAGACCATCTTGAGCTCTTTTTGTCTGTTCTTCAATCTGTCTCAATCTCTCCATCAGCTCCATGGTCTCACGGGCAATCTTCTCTGTTTCCTTTTCAGCATTTTCTCGCTTTTTTTTCTCACTCTCGAGCAGAGCCCTGACAGGAGAATTGTGCATAAATTCACATTTAAAAAAAAAAAAAATCTATCGCCTCACAGTTCTCTCCCGGAGCAGAAAGAACAGACTGTAAACTGGTAAGAAAGCCTACGTTACGTCCTCCGTCCTCACCTCTCCATCTGCCTCTTGTTCTTCTCCTGTTTGGCCTGGGCCTTCATCTGCTGCACCTCGATGGTGTCGGGTTTACGTCTGCGCATGTACAGGTCGTGGTTCCCCATACACAACGCCAGGATACGCTTGTTAATGCGAAGTCGAGGGACGTAGAAAACGAAATCCTGCAACGCAGAAACCACAGGCGGTGATTTTCCTCAGGTTTTCGTGGCCCACGATCAACATCTGGTTCACGTTAAAGCTCAGGCTCCAACCTCCTCAGAAATAGTCGAGATATGGAGGTAATATTTTTCTTCCCTGAACTTTTGGATGTTTTTCTTCAAATTCTGTGCCTACTGAGAATCTAGTCAAAAAGTTCTAAGACACACTTTACGAAAGTGGTTTTCTTTACGTTTCCGTAAAGAAAGAAAATGGAAATTTTGTTGGCGAACAAAATAACACCTACTGCAGTATGTATGTGAGGTAAATACTGGGGGGGTAAATATTGTTTTTTACTACATTGGCCGGTGTATGTTAGTACTGTTTATTCGACAAACAAAACCCCATCTTGACTGAAAATATTAAACAAAAAAAAAATCCCAAACCTCATGGTCAAAGTAAATTTCCCCTAAAATTACCTACGAGCAGAAAAGTTTTGTTCTGTGTTTTTGTGATGTTATGCTTCATAAAAATGTGGACCTGCTGCAGATAAGGTTCAGCAAGAAGTACTAATAACTATGTAATGAGTACCGGAGCCTTCTTGTCGATCGGCTTGATGACAAACTTCTTGTCATTGAAGGAAACATTTCTGATCTCGCTCCAGGGGAAGCCGATCTTCGGGGTCATCCTGGAAAAGAATGTGGGTTGAGTGTTATTGATGATTTAGTAAATAAAAAAAAAAAAGTATGTATTTATCATATTGATGATTTAGTAAATAAAAAAAAAGGTATGTATTTATCAATATATGTATATATATATTTATATATGTATATTTACGTATGTATTGTTTATATATAGTGTGAATATATGTATATAATTATATATGTATGTGTATATATACAATATGAATATATGTATATATTTACATATGTATGTGTGTATATACAGTATGAATATATGTATATATATATACACATATATGTATGTGTATATATACATACTGAATGTATATATACAGTATATGTATTTATATATGTATGTGTATATATGAAGTATGAATATATATATTTATATATATTCTGTATATATTTATATGTGTGTATATATATATACACAAATATATATGTAAATATATATGTATAAATATATATGGACATTCAAGCTGTACAAATGACTTCTTATAAATATATATGGACATTCAAGCTGTCCTTTTCAGAGTCTCTGCTCAGACTTCCACAGCGCCATCACTGGTAAATGAAGTGGTAATGCCACAGGTCACCAACTTTAACCAGATCTGGTTTCTTTTCTGTGCCAGTCTGATTGGACATTTTTAAGGTGAGATCAGTGTGTGTCTGGAGACAAACCTCCAGGCCAACAGTACTACGGTGACTACTGACTGTACGTGGAGACGACAGTTAACCACGGTAACAACAGCCGTCCTCGCCAGGCACCAGGTCAGCGGTTCAAATCCGCCCAAGAACCTCCACCTACTTGTCTTTCTTCTCGTAGATATTGAGGCCCAGAGCGTCCACCCCCAGCCACAGCTCGGATCCTTTTTTGTTCTTGATGCTGAAATAGTTGACCCCGTACATCTCCAGATCCTGGGCGATCTTCAGATACTCCACCATGGCATCTTCTCTGTGGTGAGGAGTAAATTAATGAGCTTCACAAAGAAGGTGGTCGGCCAAGAAAGAATAAATAAGTAAAAATAAGACTGCAGTACCTCAGCAGTCCCTTGTGTTCTTGGTGCCACACTTGAATTCTTTCCTCCCACTGATTCTTATTCAGATGGTGCTGCTCCAAAACCCTGGGTTTATCAGTGGAAGGGACACATCAGTTAGAGTTCTGATGACAGAAAGTGGCATCAACGTGACCTCTGGTTAGCACTAATATGCGCCGGAGTCTCTCTACCTCTGCGGCAGCAGCTTCTCTTTGGTCAGGTACCCGGGTACGTGATAGTCCTTCCTGTAGTCTCCGTGTTTGACCTGCACTGTGTACGAGGCCAGGAGAACCGCGGTCTCCGGTGGACAGTAAATGTCGTCGTTTAGGATGCTCTCTTTCACCTTCGTGAAACACAGACAAACACACTGTCAGCTGTGAAACACTATGACATCATCAGAGAAAACTTCAACATTAATAACTTTACTGCAGTAACTTCAACGTTTTAGTATCACAGCCAGTGGGACTGTCAGTGTAGTACACCAAGGTCAGACTATAGTACTCTACAGCAGGGGTCCCCAACCCCTGGTCCGGGGACTCATGCTGGTCCGTAGGTCATTTGGACACTGTGAAAAAATGTACTTCAGTTTCACTAATTTACTTCAACATTCCAAAAAAATCCAGTCATATCCCTTTACTGTTTTCATTCAAAGATAATCTGTTAATGTTTCAAAACAACAGGTCAAAGGTCATTCAGACTCTGATACTAACGACATACTACTACTAATGATCCTTCAACGATGGCGTGGTTTAACCGGTCCGCAGTAACGGCTGGTACCGGCCGACCGGCCCATGGTACAAAGCAGGTTGGGGTCCACTGGTCCACAGTACTGTCACCTGTACCAGTTCACCAGTTTAGTAGCTGTAGTTACTGGTTACTTTTTAGTTAGAGATTTGACACAGTTAAAAAAAGAAAAGGAAAATAAGTGGCTTCTTCAAAAACAACACTGTTAAAAAATTCACTCCAGATGTTTTTAATCTTCAAAGTTGATTGAGGTCTGGTTAAAAAAACCCCATAAAACCAGTATTTACTAAACTGAGCGCAGGGGAAAGTTCATCTGCCTAAGGATTATTACATCTGTCATTTGTGCACCAGGATCCATATGCATGTAATCCCTGATGTCAGACCCCAGAGGGATTAATGAGATCTGCGTGAGTCGTCGTGAAACCCCCACCGGTCGTTAGGACCGGTTTGGCGTCTTGTTTTGATCGAGATCTTATTATTCGCCGCTTCAGTTCGCCGTTCTTTAATAAGACAAAGTTACTTTCACAACAACAACAACATGTAGTCGGTCACCACATGGTCCACTTCACCGTTCAGTTTCACAGAGTGGTTCGTTCACATGGTGTCAGGAAGTCAGAAATGGTTTCATTTATTTTATATATATTTTTAAAATTTATTCTAATTATTTTTTGTTTCATTTTATTATTATTATTATTATTTATTCATTTATTTATTATTATTATTGTATTTTTTATATTTTTTTATTTTTTACAATTGTTTTTATTATTCTTTATTTTTTATTTTATTATTATTGTTTTCTATTTATTTATTTATTTATTATTATTGTTATTTTTTATAAATTTTTTAAATGTATTATTAAGTGTTTTACGTGGTGTCTGCACATCAGCACCAACCTGCAGGAAGAAGAGGCGCTGCGTCGTCTCCTGGATCAGTTCTTCTGCCACATCCTCAGGGTAAAACTTGGCCCTGAACTTGATCAACAAAGGGTTGTCCCTTTTCACATCTTGCGCAGTCACCTGGGATCGGCAGCCGATAGCAGTGGGATGCAGGAATGAAGAAGTAAGAAACTAATTAGCCTCAATGGGGTGACACATTAGCATTAGTTAAACTCAAATCGTGATGGCGTCTTCATTTATATCCCGGTGTCGGGGGAGTCGGGGGGGGGAGTCGAGGGAGGCGGGGGAGGCGGGGGGGGCGGGGGGGGCGGGGGGGGCGGGGGGGTCGGGGGAGTCGGGGGGTTCGGGGGATTCGAGGGAGTCGAGGGAGTTGGGGGAGTCGGGGGAGTCGGGGCAGTCGAGGGAGTCGGGGTAGTCGCGGGCGTCGAGGGAGTCGAGGGAGGCGAGGGGGGCGGGGGGGGCGGGGGGGTCGGGGGAGTCGGGGCAGTCGGGGAAGTCGAGGGAGACGAGGGAGTCGGGGGAGTCGGGGGGGGCGAGGGGGGCGGGGGGAGTCGGGGGGTTCGGGGGATTCGAGGGAGTCGAGGGAGGCGAGGGGGGCGGGGGGGGCGGGGGGGTCGGGGGAGTCGGGGGAGGCGGGGCAGTCGAGGGAGTCGGGGGAGTCGGGGGAGTCGGGGCAGTCGAGGGAGTCGGGGGAGTCGGGGCAGTCGGGGAAGTCGAGGGAGACGAGGGAGGCGGGGGAGGCGGGGGGGGCGGGGGGGGCGAGGGGGGCGGGGGGGGCGGGGGGGGCGGGGGGGTCGGGGGAGTCGGGGCAGTCGGGGGAGTCGAGGGAGTCGGGGGAGTCGGGGCAGTCGGGGAAGTCGAGGGAGACGAGGGAGGCGGGGGGGGCGGGGGGGTCGGGGGAGTCGGGGGAGTCGAGGGAGGCGGGGGAGGCGGGGGGGGCGGGGGGGTCGGGGGAGTCGGGGGGTTCGGGGGATTCGAGGGAGTCGAGGGAGTTGGGGGAGTCGGGGGAGTCGGGGGAGTCGGGGCAGTCGGGGAAGTCGAGGGAGACGAGGGAGTCGGGGGAGTCGGGGGAGTCGGGCTCGCTCGCAAACTTCTGCTGCTCACCCTTTTGTTCAGCTTGAGCCACGTGGAGAAGCCTTTACTGTCTTGGTACTGGAGGCCAAAGAACCAGGTCTCCCTCAGGCCGATGGTCTTCACGATCTGCAACGAAGAAACACATGGTCATAACTCTGGCCCCAAAGCCGTGGTTCGTGCTGCAGCAGAGTGTACCTGGTCAAAGAGCTGTTTGCCCGTGGTGCTGGGCAGGATGGCAAACTCCAGCTCAGCGTCCATGGTCGTAACTCGAACATTTATCTAGCAGAGAAGACAGGTGGCGTCAGAAACATGAGGAGGTCAAAGGAAGGTGCTGCTCAATGGTCTGTGTCAGACAGAGAGGAGGAGGAGGAGGAGGAGGAGGAGGAGGAGGAGGAGGAGCAGTTTAATGATAGCTGTGTTTGTTCCTTAAATCAATGCTAGGCTTCGTCTTTGACAACAAAATGACCAAAAAGAGTTGTCCTTACATTCTTCTGTTCAACCAGCAGCATCCAATCACAAGAGGTGGGTGGGGACTACAATCACAAAATTAAGCCCACAGTATATTTTAGACTTGACCAAAGACACAAAGGGTTAACGACATCAAACAGTCATCAGTTCAAAGCTAATGCCGCGTGACACAATCATCAAAGTATAACACGACAGACTTGGACATTCTTTTGGCACGGATTTTTGAAATCCAAAAAAAAAAAAAGAAAAAAGAGAAGAAAAACTTCCTGGTTTCTCCTGAGATTCTCTTAGATTGAGCAAGGCAGCGCTCCACAGATAACTGTGATACTGACGTTCATTATTTTTTTTTACTGCCGTTCTGCGAGTCTGGCTGAACACACTGGTGAGGTAATGACAGAATTCTAAATAATTTGTTTGAGCAGAAACGTAATGACACAACATTCAGAAAGTACAACCGTTACTGAGTCAGTGGTCTTCAACAGGTGGCCCGGGGCCCCTCGGTGGACATAAAATTTGCATTAAAAAAAAAAAAAGACTTTTGTATGTTTGAATTGGAACATAGCCTCAATGCTAAAGATAATGCGTATAGTTACCAGTACCATCTGAGTTACCATTCCAATAGTTCTGGTTGTAATTACGACAGACGAGCAGTTTCTGTCAGTCCTGTCAGAGTCGCAGCAGGTTGGTACATGTCAATCAGAGCAGACTACACTGCCCTGGAGGCAGCAATTCAAACGGCGCAGGCTCAAAATCACCAGGAATGAAAAGAAGAAAATAAAGCATCAGAGATAAAGAGATACTTACAGTTGACATTTGTATTTTCTGATGTGCCGTAGAAATACTTGTTGGGAGAACAGCACTCGTCCGAGCCTTTTCTCGGCACAGTCATATGAAACTGCTTGCAATTCTTACCGGGATTATACAGCACGAGAACGGAGCATTGTATTGTTCCCTCGTAATTCTCCCTTAGTTAATCCAGAGGCGGCCGGGAGGCCGGGGGGGCGAAGGGGAACGCCACACTTTTTTAAACAGCTCACCTCCATTTTCTCTTTTTTCACCACTTAATATAAACAAGTATCAAATAAATGTCGTTCAGCCAGATCGCTGACGGCGTTTACAGTAAGTCATCAGCTGCTGACGCTCCAGTAGCAGCGAAGGTGTCAACTCCTTCTGCTATTTTATTAATCCTTGTTGCTAATGTTCTGAGGAACATTTGGTGTTGGCAAACGTCTGAGGTTGGTGGGAATCCACCGTTGGTTGCGGGTCTGAAGTCGACTGTTAATAACGCCAGACTGAGGTCCTGTCATCACAGGTCGCCGTGCTACAATTTCTAGACGGTTTAGTCTAAAATATAAACTTTATGGTGCTTAAAAAAACTTATTTTTGGTAATGACATCTTATTTATTCATCCAGTGAATCATAGACTGACAAATGTTCACTGTTGGACTCACATTTAAGTATTGAGTAAACAATTAGACAAATCCATTAGTTTGGAGTGGTGGTGGCGCTGTGGGATGGGAGGGGCGGGGGCTGAAACTGGTGACATTTACTATGGCACTTATTATGATTTTGGACTTGTTTCTGTTCAATAGGCCATTGGTATAATGTGTTTACTTATTCACTGAGCAACAACTGAATTCATAAACTGACAAAAATTGCCAAAAAAATAAAAGTTTAAAAATGTCACTCGGACACAAACAGTTCAGAGCCTGGAACTAGAAATGGACAACGTTAGTCTATATGTTTATTTTCCTTGTTTTTTTACTACTAATATTAGGGATTTCCGATATTAACTTTTTTCCAATATCGGATATGCCGATGTTGACCAAACACTTAATTTTCGATTGTGATATCAATCGATACGGATATAAGCAGCTGTTTGCCCCCAAAACTGAGGTAAACGTCTCAGGAAATTTGACAAAACCTTTTTGTATTTCTAATGTTAGCACAGATTATCGGAGGAAAAACTGATAACGATTGTACCAATACATAAACAATATTTGGTTTTTTTTTTTGTATTTCTAACACAAACCGCTTAAAGTAAGCATTAATAGTTAGAATTGTAAAAACATCCAAAAAACAACAACCATTACCCATGGATAAGGTTAAAAAATTGGACAAAGGGTTGGTTAAAAATGGGTAAAAATATAATACTGTCCAGAGGAAGCCAAACAAATTTAGAAAAGGTGAAAGGAGACCGCTACCAGAGCTATCGATGAGCTAAGGGTTAGCTAAAATAAACAAGATGTTGTCATCAACAAATAAGTAACATCGTCGAAATATTGAAATAAGAATTTGACAAAAATCAAGAAATATCAAAGACAGCCAGACAGTAACGGGTGTGGAGACAGCAGACCTGTGAGGTCACGTAGAAACACAGCATTAGCTGCAAAGAAGCTCATTTACAGTTGAGCTCTCGCGCTAAAAATCACACACTGAAGTTACGCTCCCGGAGCAGGAGATCATACAAATAATTTGAACACTCTGCAGCGTTTGTGTTACCCCCCGAAGTACACCTGCGAGTACTACCAAAAAAACACAGAGAAGGCAGAAAATCTGGCAGGTTTAAAAGACTCAAGAGAGACGTTAGCGTCTGATATCAAAGTGTCAGAGAAGAGAGTCACCAGAGCGAAGAGGAGGAGGAGGAGGAAGGAGGAGCGGGCGGCAAGACGGCAGAGCAGGGAAGAAAACCTTCACCTGCCCCCCCCGCTGTGGGATCAATAACATTTAATCTAATCTCTAATCTGAGAGAGATTAGATTAAATGTCAGACTGGAGTATGTTAAGGACAACGTTAGAAAACACGGAGCGTGAAAAAGGCGAATAGTTTGGTCCAACAGTAAATGGCCACAGGGATGTGAGATATTTTGGAAATGAAGAGGAAAAACCAAAGCACCCAGAGGACCGCGTCCCTGCAGTGAAACACGGAGGAGGAGGTGACGATTCACCCAGTCCAGAGCTACAAATCTCCTCCGGCGAAAGAAAGTAAAAAGCAAAAATAATAGCTGAAAAATTCTCAAGTCAAATCTAAAATGTAACTGGATCTCAGTCAACATGTAATCAAGTGGAGCAGAACTGTAACCTGGAGGCCAGGGTGGAGGGGGCGCCGAGTTTCACTGAGCAAATGTTAGAATCTGTTGGTCTTCACGTTAACAATTGGTGCTTTATATACCAGTAATTCATCAAATATTAGTAATAATATACTAATATAGTTCATATAAACCACTGGGTTTTCCTAAAATGCTCCTGCAGGGAGAGTAATTGAGTAATAATAAAGTATTTTTATCCGTTTTCTTTCTTTTTCTTCTTTTTTTCTTTTTTGGTAAGTGATGGTGCTTTTGAAAACCACGGAAGAACATTTTTTAACTGTAGAACATTTGGTTCATGCTGTTGAGGCTCTGATGTCGAACTTGATTCATTGTCGTTTGGGAACGCTCGCTGTATCGCGGTTCGGCAGTCCCGCCCTCAGTGCATCGCGGGTTTTTGCAGTAGATATAAACATAATAAAAAAAATTAAAATAAATTTCCAATAATTTCATCATTTTTGCGGTAAAATAAGCATCTTTTAGCCTAAGAAGAAAAATAGTAAAAAAATACATTTTGTAACATATACATACAGGGTATTGCAAGAAATAACCTGTACGTACGGGTAGACGAAATTTGTGAAAGTTTTGTTAAGTTTTTTTTGTGTGGCATATTTCACGGTTAATATATACGTAAATAATATAATAACTATCGCGTCTCTACTTCGCGGTTTTTGGCCGTGCGATCTGGGAACGTTTTCTATGTGAAGTTTGGACATTTGGGAATTCTCTGCTGAGGTGGGATAAAGAAGGATTCAATGTTGTTGTTGTTGTTGTTGTTGTTGTTGTTGTTCCAGCAGATAAAGTCACCGTTGACGTGTGAGGACGTCTGATCGACGTTGATCTATAATTCATGCGGTTAATCAGTCCGTGTCAGAGTGAAGCCGTTTCCATCACACAACTGAACGCCCTGTATTATTTACCAGTGCAGCCACTCGCTCTTTACACCCTACCCTCTGGTTAACACAGCCAGGCTCGTGCTCGTATGCGCGTTCACGTGTGCTATTGTGTTTTTATCATCAGGGAGAAAAAGAGAGCACCGCGGCCGATCCTGTTGATCCAAGCAGCCCCGGTAAGAGACACGCAGCCCCCGCTGGACCATGGGAGACGAACAGGAAATCATGTGCAAACTGGAGAACATTCTGGAAATCAGGTGAGACTTCAAAAATAATCTCAAAATGTGTTTTGTTTCATTATTTTTAATTGTGAAGGTTATGTTAGCCGCCGCTAGCCTCGGCTTCGCTTTTGTTAGGCAGCTAACTGAGCTAACGTTAGCTCCGCTAAACCCCCTTTCTTTTATAGGGTTTTTTTCCTTTTCTTTCTCCCTGCTATTGTATTTTTCCGTTAGCCGATCTGTGGCTGCTTTGCCAGACACATGCTACGGGTTAACTAGGAGAGAGATTAACACACGTTTGATTCAACCGAGCAGCAGGTTCTGATCACTCGGGCTCTGCCGATCCAGATGCGTGTCAACAGAACGCCAGATGTGCGCTGCTAATAACTGCTGTGGCTGCAGCTAGCTGCAGCCACAGCGGTGGGCTGTCATTAACGCTGTTAGCGCTGGAGACAAGACTAGTCTGGGTTAAACCTCAGTGTCTCTGCAACAGCTATTAATAACAGGGTAACAGATGACGTAGGAGGGCACATGAAAGCGCAACACCTGCTGGGTAAATAACTGCACTAAAACGGGTTTTTTGTTGTTGTTGTTTTTTTTAAAAGTGTGTTAGTGAGAAACAGCTCTGTGTGTAAATATCTTTGTTTATCAGTGTTGGAGAAACAGTCTGACAGCTGCTGCTGTTGTTGTCGTTTTTCTCCGCCGCTGTCTGCAGGAACAAGACCATCCAGATGCAAAAGATAAAGTCGCGTTTGAAGATCGAGTTTGAGGCTCTGGAGTCGGAGGAGAAGCATCTCAAGGAGTACAAACAGGAAATGGATCTGCTGCTGCAGGAGAAGATGGCACACGTGGAGGAGCTGCGGCTCATCCACGCAGACATCAATGTGGTGAGTGAGAAAAAGGAGCGGGAAAGAAGTTCATCTGAACCGTAGGCTGAGACGGGGACGAGGTGGAGAGTTGACTGACGACGGGGCGCGCAGCGTGGGAGTGGTTTACCTGGCCTTACTGTGAGAAGATTGACAGTTCGATCCCCGGTGTTAACGGATGGTCTTTCTGTTTGAAAGTTTGAATTTGCTGCGACTGTTCCAGGGAGGATTAGGTTAACTGTTCCCCCTAAATGGATCACAGGTGTGAGTGTGAGTGTGAATGTGAGTGGTGGGTCGTGACCTGGTGATGGACTGGAGAAGTGTCCAGTGTGAACTGGTAAGTTTTTTGCCAAAAAAAGAGAGAAAAACTCCATACAGAAAGACCATCGACAACTGGAGACTTGAAACGTCGATCTTCTTGCTGTAAGGCAAGAACACCGACCACTGAGACACCTGTCCACCACCTATAATTAGATAATTATTTTTACAAACCCCGCACGACCGACTTTAGGCTGGTTGACATTAGATATGGTCCAATAAAGAAACAGCTGGTCACGATAATCTGACGTTCCACGACACGTCTCACTCTTCATCTTCTTCTTCAGATGGAAAGCACGATAAAGCAGTCGGAAAACGACCTGAACAAACTGCTGGAAACGACCCGTCGTCTGCACGACGAGTACAAGCCCCTGAAGGAGCACGTGGACGCCCTGAGGATGGCCCTCGGTCTGCACAGACTTCCTAACCTCAACGAGGAAGAGGAGAAACTCTCCCTGGAGTAAGTCTTCACTCACACACACACACTCACACACGACCAAACCCAGGCAGAAACCAAAGACTTTTTTTTAACCTGCACTGATGTAGATATTTTTTTCCCCCTTGTGAATCTTTTTGTAGCCTCTTTCCTGTCAGGAAATCTGAAACTAATCTGTGATAAAGTGTCAATATCGGTTCAGTGTCCAGGATTTTTTAGGCCGGTGTAATTTTCAGCCATCACAGTGTAAATAAATGAATGATGAGTAAATATTAGATGATGGTGTTTCACACCCAGCTCGCTCCCATACGCCACGCCACGCCCTGCCCCCCCCCCCCAACCGCCACCCGCCAATTTTCTGTGGTCCGCTTCTCTAACGATATGGAAGCCCACTTGACTTTCCACAGCCATGTAGATATGAGGGTCCACACGGGGACACCAGACCAGGTCTGCTCTCGATATGTGTGGGACATCTGTCAAAGGTCCAAGAATTTCAGCTGCGGTGAATAAATGAACTGTTAGTGAAAATAATTATGCGTCAGGAATGTTAGTGAACAGGAATCAAATCCCGACAGCAACCCAGTCTGATGACCGCTGGGAATGTGAGCCGTCTACACCCTTAGGCCGTCTAGCTAAACAAAAAAATGGGTCCGTGGCCAGGCGTGATTGTGTTGCCCGACGGTTTTCAGCGAGATGAGAAATGTTCTGTTTTAGAACCCACTCGCTGGGAATCCGACGCGTCAGTGATTTGTCTGGCTCGGTGTGGAGTCGTTTACAAAACTGTTAGATTAACAACCTATTTGTGTCGCCTATATGTTAATATTTAGTTTGGATGTTTAAAAAAAAAAACACTTTATTTTTATAATCATATTTATGAAATACATTAAATCACACCACATAAATATGGCAGGTGGCGCTGATCCGAGGCGGTAATGGAATATTTGATAACATGCACAACTGTCAGTCATAGATATGTGTGTTATGGCTGAGTGACTGCAACAACAGCTGACATTTAAATGTCCCTGATTGGACAACTATTTCACAATCACAGCACCTATCGCTGACCGTCGTCCACGTCCACGGCATTCGCACATGCTAGGTGTCCCGTGGTGGTCTTAGACTTTCTAGGATCTAGCAGCAAAAGGTCAGGGGTCATCGTTAGTCCTGCTGTCACTCACATAACAAGTTTATTTCCCCGGTGAATTAAATTAAACCAACGATGTGGTGGAATCATGAAAACCGATCAGTCGCCACTTCCTCGGAATAAAAGTGAACTGTACCTGAAATAATAAACATCCTAACGTGTCTCAGTCCACCAGGCGGCGCTCTGTTTATCCATAAACAACATCTAATGTTATCACAGTCCAAAGGTGTCTCACTCACCGGCCGTCTCTTCTGAAGTCGGCTTCATTTTGGTGATGTGGATGTCCCGCCTTTTCCTGGTCAGTGTGTCGTCTGTGGTAAAGGACATAAATGGAAGTTGTTGAGAAAGAACAGTGGACGGTCATGTGACGTGATGTCATTACAATGTTATGTTTATATATAATTAGCTTATGACATACATTTACTAGTCATTATATAAATGGTGTGTCAACATTTCCAAAACTAAACCGACTTCAGCAGAGAAGTCGGTTTACGTCTTTAGTTAAATCCAGTCCAAAATCACCAACGTTTGTCGAACGACTTCTGATGGTGATCTCAGCAAAAACAGGACGTTTTTAGAAATCGTGTAATCATTAACCTCTCCTAATGACCCGAGTGCATCATAAATGAGGGGCCGTTGCTTGGATTGGGGCTGCAGCCACCGAGAGACGAGCTGCACAAACACAGTCCGCCTGCGTCAGCGTCACGTCTCGGGGAGACGCCGTTTGCCAAGTCATCGTCCGTTTTTATCACATTAGCGGTTGAGCAACGAGGTATCAGAACCTGGCGGTTATTATTAATAATAAATCCAAAAAAAAAAAAAATGAATGTCTCGTGTTTCCAGACTGTGAGCTGTGGAAACACACACACAGAGACAGCATTGTCAGGCAAACAGCTACGACACGACCCAAGAACAAACAGAGGCTAACGGTCAGCGTGGTTGTTACACAGTTGTTACAGTCAGAGAGGAACGCAGCTGATGTCACATGTTAGCGTCTTCTCCGTGTCCAGAGACAGCTGTGATGACAGGCGGTCACGGTGAGCTGGAGGTCTTTAATCAGAAGTCCCCACATTTATCTGAGAAGGTTATGGATATGTTTAGATGTTGATGGAGGGCTGGTATATTATTAATAATAAATCCACCGCACAAACACACACACAGACACACACACACACACACACACAGACACGGTGAAGTCATGTTTACTTCACCGTGTCTGTTGTCTGTTTGTCTTCACCGTCTGTAATGATTAACCAAGAGAGATGTGTGACATCACGGCAACATCAGCTTCGTCAGAGTCTTCACAGGCCTGAGCGTCAGCTCCGAGGTCGGATCACAGGGGCGGTCTGGGTGGAGCAGAGATACGGATGGAGAGGTTAGGTGTTGGACGAAGGATGTTGAACTTCTTTCGCTTCATCGTCGTTGAATTTGAATTCTGTCCGAGGCCGTCGCTCTTGTTGTGATCGATTTGATTTATTTTTCCAAAAAAAAGTACAGTGTTGTGGCAGTCGTCGGTTCAGTGGAACAATCAAAGTAACAGTAACAGTGTGGGTGTGAGTCGACGGTTGTAGGTCATAACAATCTGGGCCGACTGCCTGCTGCTGTCACCTTTGATCACACGCTCGGATCAGAGCGCTCAGATGTCAGACGTGAACGCCGGCCCGGCTTACCTTTGTCACCAGCTCGTCACGTTAGTGGCTGAAGCTGGTTTAAAAAACGCAGCACGGTGCTGAGATAAAGAAAAAAAAAAACAACAAAGTGGTGAGAGGAAAACTGAAGTATAATGCTCTTTGTTGATTTTCTTTTTTTCTTTTTGGACAATCAGTTTGATTTTGTACTGTTCTTGGAGTGGGAGACGATCCGACCGCACTGGCTTCCACTCCGACGCCAGCTCCAAAGTGTTTGGTTAGTCGTCTCCACTCGTCCCCGTTCTACTACTGCGACTCATTAGAATATTTCTGTGGCAAATTGAAAATGTCTCGACAAAAAGGAGTTGTGAGGAGTGCTGTCCAATCACGTCGCCCGCTGACAGCATTGTTGGCAGGCGGCTCCTCACGTTGGCTTTGTGTTGTGTGGAAGTTTAGATGATGAGTTCATTTCTGGCCAGGTGGTTTTCTTCAACTTTTTTTGTCCTCAGTGGTGGTGAGTGGTGTGTTTTTTTTTCTTCAGGACGTGGTGTCATGGTGTTTCGCTGTTATCGCTGCTGGTTCTCCTCAGATTTTCTCTGCAGACGGGAGCCATCAGAGGCAGAAAAGGATTTTTGATTACGTCTCACGGGAGGCTAAAACTATCAGTCTGTCATTCCGCTGCTAGCCAGTAATTCTTCAGTCATTTAACCTAATAGTAATAGTGCCTTCTGTGATTGTGTTACAAGGTGTGATGGAACAGTTTGGGAGAAAATGAAGTCACAGCTCACGGGCCTGTGGAGTG